CGCTCACGTCTCTTCGCCTCCGCCCCCCGCCCCACCCGGAGAAGTAGCTTTTGTTTTTTTTTTTTCTTTGTATGTTTATCGAGGTTGGCGGTTCTGAGCTTTGTTTTAGAACCGAGTGCCGGTCGTATTCTCCGCTTTCAATTTTACGGGTTCCTATTTCCTTCCCCCGGCGAAATGTTTTTCTTTTGAAATCCACGCATCTATCTTAAGGGAGCCAAAGACCTCGCTCCCGGAGAGGTTTTGGTTTCGTATGTTGTGTGAAAAAAAAATTTTTTTTTCTTTTAACTAAGTGGCGGTTATACGAACGTGTGCACGCATGTAAAAAATTATCGCGCTGTATCTAGGAAGGTTAGGGCATGCAATTGAATGTTATCTTTGGATTTTTAAAAAGTGATCAGTAGAACTAGAAGCTTTTTCTTCTTTTGGTTGCAAAAATCCAACCGAAATGCCAGTTTTCACCTGGGTGGGATAATTTATATGCAAATACGTAAAAAAATTCTAACATACAGAACTCACTGCCCTTGTATTAACAGCGAGACTGAAGCCTTCTCGGTTTTTATGCGATGCATTTAAGGAATGAATGATAAGCTTAGTTACGTTTATTTGCAGTGAGGAGATGGGGAAAACATGAAAGCAATTTTAGGTAGCTTCTCATCAGTCATCTGTAATCCTAAGAAAGGAATCAAGTGCAATATCTCAAAAATGACAATTTAAAAATTCCTATTCATGGAGCCAATTATTTGAGTCTCTTTATTTCTCTTTTCTCTAAAATGCTGCAGTTGATTTATATGTGCTAGCTGAATCTTTTAAAAATAAAAGAACTAGTGTAAGCTTTATATTCTTGAACTTTTCAGCCAGTCACCTACAGCCGCAAACTACGTTAGTACACTGAAAATAATCTTTCTTGAATATGTGAATTTTTTAAAGTCTCCATACAAGGCCTCGATTTTCCTCATCATCTCTAATCTAAATATATAGTCCAGCCTTGAAAACCCATCACCAACCTAACATACTTATCTCATTATTATCCTGTCGTGTTTGTAACTTGAGTCCAGCTTTACAGCTAAGCACGGAATTCATCGTCACTTCTTACATCGAACTTTCCTTTCTGCTAGGCACTTTCTCCTCTCTTAGGTACTTTTCCCTGTTCTGTTTCCCCTTTTCTAATTCCTCACCAGTATCATCAGAATTCAGAACAGCTTACTAGACTAATCATTCCTCTTTGCCTGCCTTTAGGATCTTTGAGTTAATGAAATATCCTAGACCTGCCTTGGACCAGTGGGAATTTTTCACCCGTGAATCAATAGATTTGTTTTTAAGAAATTACATGGCTGAGTAATCTAACATATTGAAAAAGCACTATGTAAAAGCTAGAGGCTTAAATGTGATTGTTTTTTATATAAACCTGTCTGTAGCTTTTGCTTGACTGTTCCTTTTAAGTCCCAGTTAGTCGATGTCTTAGGTTTTAAAATTTGACATTGTTTTCAGTTCTAGGTACCAACATGATCTATTTTAAAATATACATTGAACGGGAATGTCAGATATGTTATCTTCATTTCTTCTAGACTTGAGCTCACTGAGAACAGAGGCCCTATCTTACCATGCTATCTGTAGAGCTTTACTTGGAAGCTAGTGTACTCAGTAAGTGCTGGAATTGACGTTGATAAATCCACACTTGAATTACCCACTTTAATATGTACTAGTAAGATTCCTCTGCTTTCATTCGTTTGTCTTTAAACCACTTGTAAATTAGCAAAGACAAAGGACTTCAGGGAACATGTGCCTATCTTTCTGGAACTACCTCACTTGTTCAGTAAATAAGTATTAGTGTCTACAACAAGAAACGGTGCTATGTGTTAAAAGGAATGCAGAAATGCACTGTATTCTAAATTAAATGTTTTTAGTGTTTGATAGCTAAACCCCCTTTGAGGAGAGTTCAAGATAGTGATGAGTTGTAATGTTTGTGCCCATTTCCCCCTCTATCTAGGAATCTGACTTAGGCTCTTTTCTTAAGGTAATCCTCTTAGAAGTTAGGAGTTGTTTGGATGATGGATATCTGTGTTTAACTGCCTAGAATCATCTGTATTTTCTAGTTGGTTACTATTTTCAATATTTGTCTTGAAATTTTCAGTTATTTCTGCAGCTTAAAAGAAAAACCTAAGTATGCCTTTACCAAGGAACAGTATTATGCTGCCCCCACCAGGCCATTTTTTGTATTTTATTAGAGGAATACTATGAAAGAGAAATACTGTTGATTCTAGTTTATTTGAGTGTTTGGGGTTCAAACAATTCATACTTAAAAAGAAAGTTGTAACTTGCATATTATCATTTTTACTTATCTGTTACTTAGACACTGCATTATCAGATTAGAGTGTTTCTACAATGGTAGATGAGTGTTCTTTGTAGTTAAAATAACCTAAAAAATGAACAAAATTCTTCCAGAAAGTGTGATCTATAGTGAAATTCACTACTTGGTAACTATATAGGGTTTTTGTTGTTGTTGTTGTTGCTGTAAGTGATGGCATTGAAAAAGTTAGCCAGCCAGAGAAAGAAAATAATTTGCTACTGGCACTGTCGTATCTTGACACCTAGCTGTCTTCTACAGTTTTTATTAAACAAATATATATAAAGAGAGGTACTTTAGGAGATAAATAAAAAGCAGAATAAACCATGGTCCTTAACACCAAGAATTTACAAACTAGTTTGAGAAACAGGACTCATCAAAAATTAAATATCAAAGTAATTAACCTGTAATTTCTGTGAATCCCCAGAGAGATTGTTATGTCTCGAGGCACTGCAAGGGCGGTGTTTGGTTCTGTTGTACCTTCACGTACTGCTCTTGGTATTTCTTGTAATGTATCTAGGAGACCATGCTTAGGTTTCCAAGAGGCACAGCAGTAAAGAGATTCTAGTCAATTATATTTGTCTTTATTACCGGACAATGTCTGCTTAGAGTCATAGAATCTTCAGTGTAGAAGGAACTTTAGAAATTATATGGCCCAGCCTTTCACAGAAGGCAAGCTCAGCTTGGGCGGTGGCGTTGGGTGAATTTGAATGGTGGCTTTTTGGTGGTGGCATTTAAAAACAAAACAAAACAAAAGGAGTTATTTCGATTTTTGTTTTGGGGAGAAAATCTTGGGAGTGGGTTGCCTTTTTCCTCTTTCTGTTAACATGCTATAAGTTACACTATCACGTCACTTAACTCTTAGACTTAACAGGGAGATAGGTTGGCAAAAAGGGATTTCGGTGTGAGGAGTGTCTATAATTCTGGGTGTACCAACAGCGTTAGTATCACTGACAGAAGACAAGGAAAAACAAACTAAAAAGCCCAGATCACACATAACAAAGCACCACGTGAAGTAATGCTGAGTATTTGGCAGTAACTAATTAGGGCTTGAATTCTAGTGTTTCTGTTGATGCTGCAGTATCGGGTGCTTTTGTGTCTGCTTGAGTTCCTTCAGTGATGTTCATTCTGGACCTCGGGAACTTTTTTCACTGCTGGATAGTTCTATTTCTCAGTCTTACGTTAAGTCAGATCTGTGATGTAGGTCCCGCATATATTTGTTTTGTCAGGAATAGTGCTGGAAAAGGTTATTCCTTTGTTCTCTGGCTAAACAACTCCAGTTACTTACAATCTTCTTGTGGCAAGATAGCTAGTCACTTTAATGTAATGTTTTAAAATTTAAATCTGATTCTGACAACTCCTTGTTTCAAATCCTTCGATGGCTTCTTACTGCTTTAAGTTAACTTGGCTTCCAGGGCCCTGCAGAATCTTCTCCAGCTATCCAGCCCCATCTCTCCCAATTTTGTCCTGTTCTCTTCACTCTTGGTCATCTGCTGTGTTATGCTCTTGGCAAAAAAAACGTGCTAATACGCCAATCTATTTGACTTTAATTTTTACTCTGTCGTTTTGGATTCCAGGGGAAAGTGTTCACCCATCATGGATGTCAAAAAGGGACAGTGGCGTGGATGTTGCTCAAGTGCTGAGGAGTGGTGTCAGGCTGGGTGTTAAGGTGCCCGCATTAGGGAGTTGAGCTGCTTGAGGCAACTGCTTGAGGAAATAAGGTTAAGTCAGCAGCCGTCAGGTAGCAAACAATTCCTGAAAGACGTAATTTGATGTAATGTAGAGCATCATAAACCTAAGCGCAACAATTGAATGAATGAAAATGTGGCAGAATAGGATTTAAGAACAAACCTAAAATTCTCCAAGTATTGTGCCTGAGATTAGGAGTTTGCGATCACTAGGTAATTTTGTCAAGCCCTAAAATATGTGCATCTGACGTCAAACTGAACCCAAGGAAATATTGAAGGTATAGACAGACACCTTTGTCTTGGGTCCCACGGGTTGGGACAGAAAGCAGCTGTATTCAGTGACACTGTTTCAAATGAATAACCTATTTTCAGTTATGGATCCTTTATACTTTGAAGCACAGTTACACTGTAGTGGTGACTACAGTGTAATTACTATGGACTTGTTCAGTTTTGTTAAGTGTTTATTTCTTTACTTTCCCAAAATTTGGGTTATGTGGCCCCCAGCTTCAAAGCTTGCAGAAAGTAGCCCTGTAGTTGAGCAAAAATTCAAACCCAAGTTTGATTAAGTTAAATCTCCTAAGAGCTGAAATGAGATTATAGTTTGACTTCCTACCATGTTCTTACATTTTGTTATGGACTGCAGTCTTAGGGCACTGTTAGGATCTTGATAATTGTTTCCACCAGTTTGTTATGTTCTTTCTTTGAATGTTATCTACTCTGAATACCTACTGTTACCCATGTGAATAGAACATTCACTTGCAGGTAATCTCTGAGTAGAACTTTCACATTTTAATTTGGGGCAGCCTTCTTCAAGGCTCCTTCAGTAAATATGAATTTATTTTCTATGTGTTATTCAAATCAATGCGCAACTGAAATGTACTTAACAGCTGTTCTACCTACACCCAGGAAATGGGCACTTTTTTCTTCTACCAGCTGTAGGGAGGTGCATACTTGGGGTGGTATAGGCTGCCCAGATTCAATCTCCATAACCCTGCTTGAAAGAAAGACCAATCAAGGACCAAAGAATAAACCACCACAGAAGTCAGCGATGGGAGGATGGAGGTGTGTGTGACGGTTCTACTCACTTTTCAGGATTAAAATAAGATCCATATTACTTCCCTAATCCTGGAGTGACTAGAGAAGTGCTGATTGCTGCTTGCCTTATCCAACCCCTCTGATCCCCCAGGTACAGATTACTTGCCCTGAGTTAAGGTCTCAGATATGCATTTCTAGCAAATCCTGAGGTGATGCTGATTCCGGTCCAGGTCCACTTAGGACCTGCTGGTCATACTCTAACAGCTGGTTTTTGGGAACCGCTAGCTAGGTATATGTACTCCATTAAGGCAGAGGGACAGCAGTGCTAAACGAAGGACATTAAATGATTTCCTTTCGCCTCTACTTTTGCAGTAGATTTTGCTTGTATTTCCACATACAGCTTTTAAAGAATTAAAATGGTTTTTTGAAGTGAAACATGTACAGTAATCTCTGACGTGTTCCAGTCTCCATTGTGTCATGCTTTATCTTTGATTTTTTTTTTTTCTTTTTTTAAAATAGAGCTGCCGTTATGGCTAAAGTTACTGGAAAACAAGAAGCAGCCCCCCAGGACTATAAAATGAGAGCAGTGGTCAGATTTAACCTGCAGAGACAAGGCTAATGACGGCCTCAAAGTTCTCATCTGGTGCATCGACTGTAGGCAGCTTCCTGTGCCACCAGAAGGAATAGCTTGGTGGTCAGGCCGTCTAGTTCCACTTTCTTTGTTCATTTCACATGTTCGTGTAGAATAATCATAGACTATATTATTAGTATCCGGTACTGGTATATTGCTAGTCGACTATATATTGGTCATGAATTCTTTGAGTGCTGGCTTTCGTCTTTCTAACCCAGCTCTGGTTATTTGCTTCACAGGTATTTCATGCATGGGGTTTGTAAGGAAGGAGATAACTGTCGCTACTCGCACGACCTCTCCGACAGCCCCTACGGTGTAGTGTGCAAGTATTTTCAGCGAGGGTACTGTATTTACGGAGACCGCTGCAGGTAAGACTTCGTTTACAAATCAGTTTGGCTGGGGGGCAGGGGGGTGGATTGGGAGAGATTGGGAGAAAAAAAATACATAATCTCAATAACTTTGTAAGTAATAGATTTAAAGTAATGCTTTGAAAAGGACTCCTTAGGAATGTTAGTATGCAGACAGGACTCTCACTTGGAGGGAATGCATTATTACATTTTTTATTAAAGATGAGTTTGTCATGCAGTCCTAAAGTTTGTCAGTGCCTGAGGAGCATTTCTGCCGACCTAGGGGAATGGCGTGGCGAAGGGGTGTTTATATGTGCCATTTCCTTTTTAAGACCAAGGATGAGGTGCTTATTTGACCAAACAGGACTGGTTCAGCTGTTTTCTGTTAATATGATGTAGGGACATAGGCATTTGGAATAGCGTATTAAGTTACTAGTTAAGATTTGTCATTTAGCTAAATTTTCCTGAACCCCCGAGCTCCTAAGACTACTTAATAAAGTAAAGTTTAGGGGAAAAGGCTTCTAGAATGTCTCTAATATCTCAATGTTAGACGAACCAAGAGGGATTAGTTATTGAGTAACCGCTATCATGCATTAAATTGAATTGTTCCCGTAATCCTGTTAAATTGCAGTTCAGCAATAGTTTGGCTCACTCGCATGACTGTTGGCGTGAGACTTTATTTAGTCCCTCACTACGAGGACTAGGTCCTTGCCACGCGGACCTTTCCCTAGGGCTACTTTAGTGTCCCTCACACTGAGCAGCTGGCTTTCCCCAGTGCAAGTGATTCAAGAGAGACAGCAAGGACTAAGCCACAGTGCCTTTTATGACCTAGTCTCAGAAGTCACACACTGTCACTTCCACTATATTCTGTTTATTACAAGCAAGTCACTAAGTCCAGCCCACCTTCAGGATGAGACAGATTGGGCTCCACCTTGTGAAGGGAAGAGTTGAATTTTGGACATTTTAAACCATCATATCAGGTGGGACATTTTATCAATGTCATAGCCAATTATGAGAAAAGAATTGGGTCAGCTCTTGGGTTCAGATGCATAGAGTTCAAAAGACTTAAGAAATTATTGATAGGTGGGATATTAATGTTAGGTCATCCACGTTTATTTTGCTAGAAAATCTAGTAAGGTAGAGAAAAAGAAAGGTCATTTGCATGTAACTGTAGGAGCTCAGAAATGGAACCTCTGACATCTGAGTTAAGTAGTCAGCTATTTTGCTCTGGTAATATTTTTGTTGCCATATTGCTGGAAAAAGGAGAAAACGACACAATCATACTCCTCAAAAAAAAATAAAATAAAGAAACCCCAGCTATGTCTTTGTACTCACTGTATTAATGGGGAGGGAAAGTTGCTGGTGAGCAATTCTTTGTATTGGGGTGGCCTTCGTACATTTTCTGGACCAGCTTAATTGTAGGGGAGCTAGGTTCCTTGACTGGTCAGCCGGTTGAGAATCCTTGTAAACTTGTCCAAGGAGAGGAGCTAAATGTTGATGAGAATGGAGATGCGACCCCAAGGAGCCCAGCAGAGACTGGAGAATAGTCTGTGACACAATGAGGGGACATGTGGCTAGTTAACAGATTGAGGGTACATTTCAGAGGTGGCATTCATCTGGTTAGACCGTGTAGGTGGGGTGAATGGGAAATGAGGTTAAATTGAAGAAATTCGAGCTAAGGCCTAGGCTCTGTGTTAGCTTACTTCTCAGGCAGCTTTGCCAGTCCCAAATGGCAATCCTCGTGAGGAAGGATGGGAGCCCATCTCCAGCCTAACTCTGTTCGCTGGGCTTCCTTGTGGGAGATGGAGAGTGAATGAGGTAGGTGTCCAGTTTGAGGGAGGCATTGACACTTAGAGGCATATGAGTCACTTCTTTGTTGTTGTTCAAGTTTTCTTTATAATTAGGTTACAGCTCCTCCTTTGGAGGAATGATCCTGATTAGAACTCTTAGGGTCAAGTGAAAGGAGTTAGGGAAACCTGTGTGCTGATAGGCTGCCTGAAAGGGAAGCTGGGTGATGATTGTTTAGGACAGGCCAATACAGGTGTTTATTACAAGAGTGATTATAGACTAGCTAAGTACGGAATCTCATGGACGGCTGGTTCCACGATTGCTTGCTTTCTTGTTAAAATTATACCTGAGGGCTTAAACCTACTTTTCACTCTTAGGGATTTAAAAAAAATTTATTTATTTAAATAAATAAAAATTAGTTTCAGGTATACAGTACATTGGTTAGACATCTATATAATTCATAAAACAACCCCCCAGTTGCTCCCCCCGTCCCCTGGCCCTCCACCTAGCCATCATATTAATACTAACTGCATTCCCTCTGCCTTGATAGAACTTGACCAGTTCCCAGGGATTTCAAATAATTTAACTCATAGAAGGAATAGTTTTTTTCAACCATTTAAAAATATCAGAAACCGATCCCTGCTCTAGTTGGAGTTGGCCTGAGGGCCTAGTTGACTGATCCCTGCTTAGGGAGGTCCACGCTTTACTGAACCATTTTTTAAAAACTTTAAAAAATTAAGTATTGGGGTAACATTGGTTAATAATATATAAACTTCAAGTATGCAGTTCCGTAATACATCATCTGTATATTGATTGTGTGCTCATCATGCAGTCTAGTCACCGTATCCTTGACCCCTGAACCATATTTTTTAGTAAACACCTTTCAGAATTGGAGTCTTGCTTTTTCTTTTTCTTTCTTAGTTTTTCTTATTTGTACTTTATTTTTCGTGGTGCTTACTCACAAATCTTTACTTCAGAAGCATATTTTACATAGATCTATTCTGCACTAAGGGAATAACTTCTAAGTAGAGTTGAGAACATACGTTCCTTGATGTCTTTCCTTAAAGTCTAGATTTTCCCCTCAATATAATTCCTTAGAATAAAGTTGTTTTTACTTGATACACATTCCTTTTCTGGAAGAACTCTTTAAGAAGTTAATTTACTTATAAATGTTGACTTTCTAGTTAACTAATAGTCTGTGTTTTCAACAGTTTTATTATACTTTGTTGATTCCTTGATAAATTTACCTTAAATGCACTTCTTTCAAAAATATCATAGTAGTTGCAATTTGATAATTAGGTGGTGATGAGCATTCTAGTCCTAATAAGTAGTTTTTGAGTTGTTTACGCTGAAATCCTTAAATGAATACAGCAGAGGAGAAAGAGAACCAGAATATTGGTGTCATCTATTTCTTAGACCCTATATACGTCTCAACATTTAATGTCTTTTTAATTTTTTAAATTAAAGGCTTTAACTTAAAGGCTGCGCAAAATAAAATTTTTCTGAAACTCCCTTTCAAACCAGGGCATTACTTCATCTGAAAAGTGAGGATTTAGGTCTAGCTTTATAAGGTTCCCTATGGCTCTAAAATAAACTTGAGCCGTGCTTCCAGTAGCCGTTTGTGCAGAGATGGAAACGTGCTCTGTACTGCTGTCTGAGATGATAAGTGCTAGTGACACGTGGCTCTTGAATACCTGAAAATGTGACTAGTGCAAGGATCAAGGAAGATTTTTCAATTTTACTTAAGTATAGATAATAGCTAGGTATGGCCAGTGGCCGCCGTCTCGTACAGAGCAGCTTAAGTCACAGACCTAGGACACCACTTACCTGATGATTACATCTATGTCATCTCTAAAACGATGAAAGAATAGTTTTTTGATGATGCGAGGTGGTAAAAGTGAAAACATGTTCATGATAGTACTTTCCCCTCACTTGCCTGCTTCCAGTCCATGCAATAAAATGCACTGGGTCTTTGTAACTGAGAGCAGGACACTTAGATTATTTGTACTGCAAAGCCAAGTGTTGCCAAATGCTTAAGAATAGGAATGTGAAGGTTTGAGATAATATAATGATAAAAATCAGCTCAGCAATCCTTTGCTATACGCTAAAGGGCAATCTTTAGTTGGGTTTCGCTTTTTTAAGATGTAGACGCAGACATCTGTAACACAGATGACCCATGGTTAGCATTGCCCAATAATTGTAAGAACTGCTAGATTCATACTATAAGATACAACAGTTTAGATTTACTGCATACATCATTTATTGTGTCTGGATGAATCGCAGCATAAAATGCTCAAAAGAGCTGTTAGGATTTTCTCAGGGATAAAGTTACTTTCTTGAAGGAAATAGTTTTTCTGTATACTTGGAGATGTGGTTTAATGATAATTTTACAGATGAAAAGGAGTGAGAAAATAGGTAGGAATTTGGAAAAGGGAGTAATTAGGTGAATGAATGGATATAGGAAAAGAAAATATGTATATTTTGTAAATATTGTCTCTCCTTTTTAATAAGGGGAGCGGTTGGTAAAACGTTCACTTTTCTGCTTATGAATTTGAGTGTCAGCCTTGCTTTGTTTAATCAGTTGGGTTTGGCTGCACAGTCTCTTTAGCTGAGTTACTACCATGGGAACTGCAGATTGCGAACTATCTGAAACTCCTGAATAGATTGGAATTTGAAGGGAAATAGATGGTTTACAGCAGGGGTGAGCAAACCGGCCTGTAGGCCAGCGGTCCCCAACCTTTCTGGCACAAGGGACCGGTGCTTCTATGAGAATCTAATGCCTGACGATCTGAGGTGGAGCTGAGGCAGTGATGTCAGCTCAGGGGAGCGGCTGCAGACACAGATGAAGCTTCGCACGCTTACCTCCTGCTGCGCTGACCTGTACCTGTCCCAGCCCGAGAGTTGGGGACCGCTGCTGTAGGCTAAACCTGGCCCAAACTATTTTTGTAACTTTTTATTAGAGCACCACCAGACATAGTCATTTAAATAATGCTTACAGCTGCTTTTGAACAATAAGTGCAGAGCTGATTGTCATTGACCGGTGTGATCTACAGAGCCTAAAATAGTGAATGTATTTGACCTTTTAAAGTTTTCTCTCCCCTGTTCATGGCCTTGCTACGACTCACAGTGCGGGCCTTGGACTTAGCAGTAGGAGCCTCACACAGGGGCTGGTTAGACATGTTGGATCAGGCTCCACTCTTGACTTAGACCATGGGTTATCTGCCTTTAACAATTTCCCAAATGATGCATATGCACAGTAGTTTGAAAAGAGCCCAAGGGTAGGATCAGAGAATGTATGTTTAATCTAGAAGGGTCTGGTTAGACGATGGCTACTTAGATTTTTTTTTTTTTTTTTAAATGAACATAGTAAGCCATTGAAACAGGAAGAAGCGTCGGCTACAGATCTAACTGCAAAATCATCCCTTGCTGCTTCCTCAAGTGTCTCATCAGTGGGACCGACAGTTGAAATGAATACGGGCGAGGCTGAGTCAAGAAATTCAAACTTTGCAACTGTAGGAGCAGGTTCAGAAGACTGGGTCAACGCCATCGAGTTCGTTCCTGGGCAGCCCTACTGTGGCCGGAGTGAGTATTTTGAAGAATGAAAATGATGAGTGGTTCATCAATTAGCTGAGTTTTCACATTCAGCCTGATCTTAACACTTGATTGGATTATGTGGGACTTGCAAAGTGAAAGAAACTTCGAATTTAGAATGTTTTGAAAAACTGAAGCCTCTTTTTTAATGAGTACAAATGCACAAGAAAAACACGAAAAGGTTCCCCCCCTCCTTTTTACAAGCTTAATCGTGGAAATATCAGCATTAGAAAAGTACGTTTCTTTCAAGAGTAAGGAAATTAGCTCAGTAGACTGATTTGCAGTTTAATCGGAGTTCTTTTCAGTTAGGTCCTCAATTAATCGTAGAGTTTATGCACCGTATCCATTTCGGACCTTTACCACCCTCTTAAACATTTTCAGCCGCCCCTTCCTGCACTGAAGCGCCCCTGCCGGGCTCAGTGGCGGAGGAGGACTCGGCGAAGGAGCGGACGGCCGTGGAGACGAAGCAGCAGCTCTGCCCCTACGCTGCGGTGGGAGAGTGCCGGTACGGCGAGAACTGCGTGTACCTCCACGGCGACTCCTGTGACATGTGTGGGCTGCAGGTCCTCCACCCAGTGGACGCCGCTCAGCGGTCACAGCACATAAAAGTAAGTGTCGGGGAGGCGGTACGGCATCGGCCACGAGCACTGCTTTCCCTTCCACAGCTTCGGTACTTTGCTCGTTCGGTGGAGCGAATGGTTATCCATAAGGAGGGATGTTTTCTTTCCTGGGTTTATCAAGAAATCATGCTTTTAGGACTCTGGACTATGGGCTTTTTTTTCTTTTCTTTTTTTAAGTAATAGCTTTTCTGAGATGTGCATTTCATTGGTTTTTAATATTTTTACAGGACTGTGCAGCCATTCCCACTATTCTGTCTAATTTTAGGACATTTTCATCATCCCAGAAAGAAAGCCCATATCCGTTAGCTTACTTTCCATCCTGCTCTTCGCCAGCTCCTGGCAGCAACTAATCTACTTTCTGTCCATGGATTTGCCTATTCTGGAAATTTCATATCAGTGGAATCATGTGTGGCCTTTTGTGACTGGCTAAAACAGCATAATATTTTCAAGATTGATTCATGTCATATGTATCTGTCCTTTATTCCTTTTTATGGCTGAATGATAATGTACCGTATTGCTAGGCCAGTTGTTTTTCCATTCATTAGTAGATGGACATTTGGATCGTCTTAACCTTTTGGTTATGATGAATAATGCCATGAACATTCACGTAAAAATTTTTGTCAACACATAGACGTATATTGTACTTTTCCTTGGAATAGAGTTGCTGTGCTTGACACTGCGAGCG